CGGTATCGTCGTCGCCGTGGACGACTTCGGACCCTGGAGAGCCTACACCGTCGACGACAGTAGTGGAGCAACGATTGAATGCCACGTCAATCTGCCCAAGCCCGCTGCCAACAGCGCAATCCTCGGGGGTGGTAACCCTGCACCAGCGGTAAAACCCAGCAATACGACAGCACAGCAGCAGCAGAAGGTGGACCTGCTTGGGAGTGAGGTTAACGTGGGAGACATCATTGATGTCAGAGGAACGATTCGTGTCTACCGCCAGACTCGACAGATCAAGGCAGTGAAGATTGTGCACCTCAAGTCGACCGAGAAAGAAGTGGAGTTTTGGGGGAAGGTGGCTGCACTGTACAGAGATGTTCTCGACAATCCGTGGGTTCTGGACGAGAAAGTTGTTCGGAAGTGCCGAAAGGAGGCAGAAGGCTACGAAGGGAAGCAGGCGAGGAAGGAGAGGAGAGAGCGGCGCGAGAGGCGTGAGAGGGAGAAGGCTACGAAGGAGAGGGACGCTGGCGTGACTGAGGCGATCGCAATCCCGAACAGAAGGCCGGAGAAAGCCGCGGAGGAGCAGGCGGCGAGAAAGCCGAAGATTCGGGCCACCGGGTTGGAGAGGAGGCCAAAGCCTCCAAAGGTGGCGGTCCCGATCACCGGGAAATTCAGCGCGCTTGGGCTTTGAACGGGATGTTCCTACTCAGTGTCTTGGGTCTGGGCGCCGTGTGCGCATTTGTGCTGGACATTCCAGCAGAAGTCTGGGGGTCACTCAACTGTGTCATGTCCCAGACTCACGCAAAGACGGCTAGGACCGAAGAGGTCTAAATGGCCCACAGAATACCGTGAGGAGAGACTCAGATGCAGCAGAACGGTCTCGACTGGGCGCAGACGCACTGGACACCTCTACGGTCTGGGTCAGACTCTTCGCGCAGCCGAAGTGATCGGTATTATGGAATATCGGGATGACGAAGGCCAAGCGAGAGCTTGTAGCCTGGATTTGGGGAATTCGCCCAGGATGCAAGGTACCCAGATCAATTGTTCAGCTCAATACAGTCGCACCTGCCTCACGCGACGCAACGATGACTGCCCGACCCCGGGCCTACCTTCCTCATCTATTGATGAATAACCGTCGTGGAGTTTTGCATCTTTCCAACCGCTCGGTTCCGAATTGATAGGAGCTAAAAATTAGATCATGCATGCGACATCCAAACGCTCAACCTCAGTCGCACCCTCGATAAGACAAGCTTAACCTTAGAACCTCTTATTTCTTCCTACAGAACGCCCGCGGAACGCCTACCGAAAAGCATCGCCCCTGGAGACTTAAGGTTTTCCGATTGCTGTCGTCAACCGGGTTCCCTAGCCGTGTCCCGACTTTGCCTCCACCGGGCATTCCAGGGCTCCCTGGCTAAAGGTAGGCAGAGCTCCCAAAGGTCAGGATGGAATTTTCGTGAGGCACAGCACGCGCTCTGGATTCCCAACCATCCCATACCGTACCAGTGAATGTCTCGAACCACGTTTCCCGACCCCTCGGTGGTTGAGTGGTGGCGAATGACTCAAGGACTGAACGTGGTTGAGGACGCGGTCGCGTTTATAACGTCAGGTTCCCCTTCGCCAGGGGCAGGAAGCTTGCTAGAGCTTGATAGCTTGACGTGCCATCAATAACACTATGGTGTGGAATACCATGATCTTGTTTCTTTTACTGACTTTGCTGCAGGGCGCCGTCTCGCTTGGCGACCTTACCGGCGAACACCAACACCACAATTGGCATCATCCCCACTACCGAAGTCCGCTAGAGCCGTCAGTCACCTCACACGTAGCTCGGCAACAGAAAGCGCTAGACTATGACCTGGCAACCAGCACGACAACGGTCACACTCGGCGAGGAGGACAAGTACGAGTGGTTTCGAAAAGCTAAGGCAACCTCAAGGGCCTACGAGGTGCCTGAACCTACATCGGTAGTCGACGAGCCCCTCATTGCCTCCAGAGCCAGCGTCATCACCGTCACCGAGCCGTCGGGCATTGTTCAAATTCTCCCCGGAAGCAGCGAACCCCAGACGGGAAGCGTTCAAACAACTTTGGAGACAGACGGACATGTCACCACACAACCTATCTTGACAAGCCCCATATCGACGCCGACGTCCCTAATTCCAACTCCCTCACAGACCGTGTCTATGCCAACAGCCGCACCTACCATTGACATGGGTTCTCCAGATATCTTCTCGGATCCGATCGGGACGGACTCCCCACCCGCGAGCATCAGCCGCCGGCGGGACCACCCGGCGCCGCGGTTGGGCATTGAGAACTCTACGGCGCCCCTCCAGACAAACAAATTCTACTCCAACTTCTTCTTGGGGTCGCAGCAACAACCGACGTACCTTATCCCGTACTCCGTTGCCTGGGCAAAGGGAAAAGGGGCATCGGGCAGCTGGGGACTGGCTATTTCACACATCAATGCCAGCCAGAGAGTTTTCGGCCCCACGGTTTCCAACACAGGGGCCGCCCAGTACTACATCAACCCTGTCGGAACCCATTCCATGGTGCTGTCTGCGAAGGAGCTTGGAAGCAGCACTGTGTTGAATAGCGATCAACTTACGGGTTCCTCGGTCCGTATCAGCTTGCGACCCGGACCCGGCATGCCGCCAGCAATTCAGTTTCCACTGGTCCAAGGCTCTGCGTTTGTTAGCGGAATCTACTCTGGCGCGCACCCCTTGATACAGACTGGTGTATATTTCAAGACGGTTACCCGTTCAATCAAAGAGCCCAAGCCAGGCATCACCAAGTACAAGTTCAGCATGGAAGACGGCACCACATGGCTGCTGTACGCGCACCACATCAAGGGAGATCCCCTGGATCTTCATGTTGCAAACAACGGCCTTGCCGAGGGCAAGGCGCCATTCTACGGTGTCGTCCAAGTTGCTAAGGACCCCGGGGGCGGTGAGGTTCTGTTCGATCAGGCATGTGGAGTTTACGCCACTGGTGTTGAACTCTCCGGAAGGATCAAGGACACCACAGCGGCATACTCGTTCAAATTTAGCAGGGCGGGAATGTCCAATGCCACGCTCGCTATGTACGCCTTGCCTCACCACCAGAGCTCATTCGACTCTGCCACCCAAGCAAAGGTCACTCCTCTCGAGCTAGACACGCCGACCAAGGGGCGGGCTGCGATCGTTCTGGGCGACGTCTGGACCATGATTGAGCCAAATATTCCGGTCGATTTAGGATTCGTACCTTGGCTGCCAAAGGTTGGGAGTCTCAGTACGGTGTCTGATTCTGCCAAGGCTTTCATTCACAACATTGCGCGTCAGGAACTATCACAGAACATGAACAAGCAGTCAGACCAGGACTCGATGTACTTCAGCGGAAAGGTAGGATGTTTCGATGTCGCTATTGCTGCAAGAAATGGTTAACAAGTCGCAGGCTTTGGCAAAGTTTGCGTCTATCGTCCTGGCAGCGAATGACATTCTGGACGATAAGCCGCTTGCAGCGGCCGGCCTCGGTCAGCTCAAGCTCGCGTTCTCCCGATTCGCCAAAAATGAGCAGAAGTATCCGTTGTTGTACGAATGTAAGTACGTTCACTGCACATCCGTGACTGGTGATTAACAATGTGTCAGCTGCTTGGGGAGGCGTGGTATCCTCGGCCGCGTACGTCACCGGAAACGCAGGTGCCGATTTTGGCAACAGCTACTACAACGACCACCATTTCCACTATGGCTACTTCATCTACACTGCTGCCGTCATTGGACATCTTGATCCTGCTTGGATTGAAGTCAACAAGCCCTTCGTCAACACCCTGGTCCGTGACGTTTCGAACCCAAGTGCCAAGGACAAGCTCTTCCCAGTTTGGAGATGCTTCGACTGGTATCATGGTCACAGCTGGGCCCATGGCCTTTTCGAAAGCTTGGACGGAAAGGTATGCCAAAGAGAAACCACTCAGATGGGCATCATGCTGACATGGAGATGCAGGATCAAGAGTCGAGCTCGGAGGACTCGATGCACGCGTATGCAATCAAGATGTGGGGCACAGTATCGCAAGACCAGAACATGGCCGCCAGGTAAGCTTCCCGTCCTGACTACTGTGATACTGCCGCTAACTAGTTAAACAGAGGAAGCCTCATGCTCGCTGTGCAGGCTCGCTCGTTCCGCGACTATTACCTCTACCACAGCAGCAACAAAGTGCAGCCCCCTGAGTTCATCGGCAACAAGGTGGCTGGCATCTTGTTCGAAAACAAGGTCGACCACACGACCTTCTTTGGCGGAAATATAGAGTATATCCAGGGCATCCACATGCTGCCCCTCCTACCACACACCCCTTATATTCGAGCCCAAGACTTTGTGGCCGAGGAGTGGAACGCATTCTTTGATCAAGGGCGAGCAGATGATGTGGTGGGCGGGTGGAAGGGTATCCTGTTTGGAAACCTTGCGACGATTGATCCGAAGGGGGCGTATGCTTTCTTCAGCTCTGAGGACTTCGACCCGAGCTGGCTCGACGGCGGCGCCAGTTTGACATGGTACTTGACCTATGCTGCTGGTAAGTCATCCTCAGTTCTTCCCGTGACGTCGTCAAAGACTGTTAAGCGGGTGCTAACGCCGGGATGTAGTTCTGGGAGGTCTATAATACTTCTTGACTGTTTTGTCTCGTTGCTCCTATACTGCTTGCGCGTGTTTTGTTCCATACCATTGATGACACGAGTCTACGTTGATGTCAGTTACACTGCATTAGAAAGGATGGGCGACGGGGGCCACTGGATTGTGCGGCTCCTCGGTGTTTGTATATCTCAATAGTCTGACTACATTGCATACCTAAGAAATAATAACCTTGAAGCATTTTCGTCCATTTACGTGCCAACTGGAGCTCACATGCCTAGACTTACCTAAGGTCGGCAAGCACTTACAAGGTTGCAGGCAACTCCTGATATCTACAGCCTTCCCGCCTCCGCCTCCACCACAATCCGGAGCCGATAACCCACATAAGATTAAATTTTGCAACGCCTCTACACATCTCATAACCAGGCACACGCCCGGCTAGCTCAATCGGTAGAGCGTGAGACTCTTATGAAGATACTTCATAGAGAATCTCAAGAGATCATCTCAAGGCTGGGGGTTCGACCCCCACGTCGGGCTCAATTCCTGGCGATTGCCATCTGTTTGTCATGCAATGATTTTTGCTTGTTTAGGTTGAGGGCTGTAAGTTCAGGAGATTTTTTTTTCTGGCAAACCGTAGCTGTCGGGCTGGCAGAGCTGACCAGCTGAAAGCCCAACCACAGTGCACGCCCCGCCGAAGTTTCAGCTGGCAGGGATGTCAACGCCAGCATTGTCGTCACCCCTCCATCCAGATCTTTGAACTTGGCGTCGACACCAACGACCAACGTTCACGTCGATACGAGCGAGCACCAGCAGCTACGCGCTGATACACAAAGCCGCTGTGTATACCCACCAAAATATCAATCATCCCCAACGACCACTGCAGCCACCACAAGAACCTGTAACATCCTACCCTGATCACCACAAACCACCCCGCGACCTCCCATCCGATCGCGCAACACCCACACCATAACCTTCATCGCGGGCACCCACCCACCCCACCCTCAAAATGCAAGGCTTCAACATGGGACGCTATGTCCCTCCAGACGCAGAAGGCCTCATCTCCGGAAACGCCCTCCACAAGAAACACCCCCTTGGCTCGCGCGCCTCCAAACTCGCCTCCTCCGGGATCCTCACCGTCCGCTTTGAAATGCCCTTCCCCGTTTGGTGCGATTCCTGCCCCAAACCCACCATCATAGGGCAAGGTGTACGTTTCAACGCGGAGAAAAAGCGCGTGGGGAGTTACTACACCACGCCGATATGGGCGTTTCGGATGAAGCACGTGGAATGCGGGAACTGGATCGAAGTGCGAACGGATCCGAAGAATAGGGGGTACGTCGTCAGTGAGGGGGGCAGGAAAAGGGATGTAGGCGGGGAGGAGGATGATAGCCTGGTGAGGACGGGAGAGGGTTTGATTTTGGATGAGAGGGAGAGGAAGGAGAGGAGGGAGACGGCGTTTGGAAAGCTCGAGAGGACGATTGAGGATCGGGAGAGGGAGGTGGAGGGGAGACAGAGGATAGGGGAGTTGAGGGAGGAGGCGGAGAGGAGGTGGGAGGATCCGTATGCGCAGAATCAGAGGTTGAGGAGGGAGTTTAGGGTGGGGAGGAGGGCGAGGGAGGAGGAGGGGAGGAAGACGGAAGATTTGAAGGAGAGGATGGGGTTGGGCATTGAGTTGCTTCCGGGGACGGAAGCGGATGCGAAACGGGCGGCGTTGGTGGAGTTTGGGGGGGTCGAGGGGGAAGGGGAGGGGGATGTTGAGAAGGCGTTGGCGAGGCCGTTGTTTGAAAGGGCACGAGGGAAGAAAGAAGAGGGAAAAGTGACAGCAAGGGGGAAGTTGAAGGCGGAGGTAGCTGCTGAGAAGATGAGAGAGAGCCTGGTTTCGGAGATTGTGGGAAACACGAGGGCGGCGAGGGATCCATTTCTTGGATTTGGGAGCAAGGACACACCCAAAGGTCCGGCTCGACTCCCGGGGTTGAAGAGGAAACGAGACCCAGATACGCCCCAGGAAAAACTGGCTGAGGGCAAACCTGGTACAGCTACGGGTGTATCGACGGCGCTGGTGAGCTATGAGTCTGATTCAGAATGACCACGAACTGGTCTGGAACTGATATGAGGGCATGACGATGATATGAACGAAGTAATGATACCCCTAGAACGAATGTATAGGCAGCACAAATGCTGGATACAACATGGATCTTTCCAGTTCTGAAGCTTCACGAGGGACTTGGGGGAGAAGGCGAGGAATGGCTGAAGGGAAAGCTAGATAGAAATGAAGCGATGATTCTTTGCGCGGGGTTAGGATTGGTGAGTGTCGGGTGGGAGTTGGACTTTGCCCCTTTTGCAGGCCTCCCTCTCCACAATCCAGTGGGTTTTATCTGCGCTCACTGTTGACATCGATTGCCACTTTGTGCTCAAGGGGAATCTGATTACCTCCGCCTACCGCAAATTGAAGTTGAAGAAAATGTGAATTCAAGGAGGGGAGGTTGACTGCCGAACCCACTAATACCTAAACCAAGCCGAACCAGCCTGATCCCATAACACAATCACTAAACAAATAAATGCAAACTCCTGGGATATGAATCTGTACTCCCCTTGTAATGATACCGTTGCCCAGTGTACCCCCAATCCTGACTCCGGATGCCCCGTCCCCCGAAAGCATACATCAATTCTTCATACGTCGTCCATCTTGCCTGCTGCTTCTTGCTCCTCTTCTTCGTCCTCACCGAAGCTGGCGACAGAGCTCATGTCGTCATCGTCTTCGCTTTCGGCACCGGCTTCGTCCGCGGCATCTTTATTGGCGTATCTTTGGACGTACTCTGTGACTGGTTAGCTCCCCCTCTTCTTCGATGGGGTTAAGATGCCTACCCTTCACCTTGACATCATAACTCTTGGGCTCCCGCATGAGCAGGGCGGCCGCCTCTCCGTTCAGCGGGTCCGTCGGGTTAGGATATCGCAGCAGCTGCGGGAGGAAGACCTCGAAAATGTTGATCATGTCGAACATCGGCGACCACGTCTGGTTGATGACGTCCAAGCAGACCGAGCCAGACCTATTCCCCAATCATTTAGCTTCCGCCCACACATCTCTTTCTCCCCAGTTCCAGCTCTATCCAACTTCCCGTGTTCTCCGCAGCTCTGGCGTGTTGGCTTACAGTTCATCAATATTCGGGTGGAAGATGCGATTCACAAAGCCGATGCTAGGCGATTTGTACGGATATGAATCGGGGAGTTCGACGTGCACCTTCCAGACACCGCCTTCAAAAGGGGCTGTTCCGTTTTGTTAGCCTTCACCCCTTTTCGATATTAGACGGAGGGAACGCCACCCACTTTCTGCAGGTCCTTTAAACCGCACGTAGAATTCTTGCCTGCGTGCCTGTCAGATATCTATCCCGTCGTCCCATATATGTGTCAGCCGCGCGAGCTTACACTGGAGCACGAGTACGTCAGCGAGAAGCTCCAGTTTCGGTCAGGGGTATATCGTACTGTTGTCGTTGACCAGAGTGACCTCATAGTCGCTCATGAGCCTATCGGTATGCCGTTAGAAGAAAGTCGGGAGAACGATCGTACCAGGGGCGATGCGTACATCTTCATGACCTGGAACAAAACATTTGTTAGCTCGGTCGGGTAAACCTTCCTCAAGCTGGGCACTCACGTCTGTCTCGATGCGGCGGCGCGGGGAACTCATGGTGGGCAAGTGATCGGGACCTTGCGGCTTCGTTTGTTTGTTATTTCGGTTGCTCCTGGCAAAGGTTCGTCGCTGATCGACGTTAGTACGTGGGAACGACGGTGGTGGCGGTTTTAGGGATCAGTGTGGTCGCACGAGCCGGATGTTGGGGAGTAGCCCGGTCGGAGCCGCGGGAGGGTGGAGGGGCAGGCGCTACCTTTTCTAGGTAACAACGGAACCAGAGGCGTTTGAGTCAGCAGGGGCGCCTGACTTGATTTCCGCGATCCGATATTGACGATGTCGTTTTGTGCAACTTGATACGGGCGCGATCTGGGGGCTGTTGGTAGGAGGCTGTTCACGTTTGAAGATGCGAGGAACAGGATGAATGAGCGGCTTCGGGGAGCCCACGACGTCAGGCCTTCTTCCCCTCTGGGGTGGTGGATGTTGCAGTGGTCGCAGCCGACGAATGATAAGCGGGCTGGGCAGCTGTGATTATGCAGCTCCACGCTCTCGATAAGGGGAATCTGGTACCACTTCACCTTAAAATGACGCCCAAAAGAAATCGACCATTCACTTCAAGACAGCTGGTTTTGGGTGGGAAGGAAGCGTCAGATATCAATGCAGGATTACGACCCAAGCCCGGCTCCTGTCTCTATCAACTACGACAAGACCACGACAGCCCGTTGGCCAGCCGCGGAAGAGTCGAGACAGCAATGAGGTCTCTATGACCTGAACCTCCTGCCGGTGTGGGGAACGGAATGACACACAGTGTCATGCCTCGCCAATCGCGGGGCTTGACCAGCCCTGGCTCTTTGTTCCGACGCTGAATCCGGTACCCCTCCATCGAACACACACTTTGAGGGTGAAGCCAGACCGCCGAACTGCACTTTGTATTGAACCGAACCTCGAGTCCTGGGGGTTGTCTGTCTTTACTGCCGATGCTGAGATCGGACTCGGCAGCTCAGCCGATGCGCTAATAATCGAGAGCCAACAGCCCCTCAGCGCCATTTCGAGATCCTCGGTGCGGGGCTAAGCTTACCCAACATGCGGGGAGTGACCTCTGCATGGGAGAAAGGAGTGATCATGAATTCCATGCTGCTTCAGGGTCACGCGCCTCCTGCTGAGCGGCGTTAAACCAGTTGTTCCGAGGGTGACCGAGCCGCTGGATATACGGATATGGCTCGCACGTCAGGTAGCGGCCACGCCAGGATAGCTTCACTACGTTCATGACCTTGAAAATGCAGCCACACGTGGATGCCACACATTGAGACGCCCCTGTGGCACTGAATACTGATCTGCAAGACACCTGCATACCATCAAAGAACCAAAGGGCGTCGGGCTGCACTTTGATGCTGACTACAGTCCGATGCCTCAGCTCCAGTACACTCTGTCCAATCAGGGCGGCCCTCGCCAACCCACCCGATCGACCGAAGGGAGCCGGCCTCAACCTTTCCAGGAGGCGAGCCGAGTGTCCACTGGAGCACTGCCCATCGGCCGAGGAAAGCGAGCAAACTCCAGGAAATTTTGAGAGAGACTCAAATTTACGCAGCAAAAACCATCATGCCCTTGGATTAAAAAGCTGAGCGGATTCGCCCCAACCATGGCTCCAACTATTTCCCTCTTTCTCCCGCTCTTGCAAGCGCATGCATCAATCGCCTGTTTTGCGCCCACTGTTTTCTTTCGTTTTTTCCATTTTCCGATCGCTGCACTGCAAGCCAGGTGTGTTTTTAGGAACGCACACAAGTGCCCATGTACCGCTCCTCCACACTGGCTCGGTCGGTGGGTGCTGCCCTGACACGGAGCACGCGACTACCTATATCCTCCGTCCGGCCTCTCTTCCTAGCCGCGCAACATGTCCGGCACAGCTCCCACTCGCCGA